ATATTTTTTAAAAAGGGAGAGAACATTCGGGAGCGCCACAGCGCTCCCAAGCGGCGCACTGTAGCAGTGCGCCACCGGGCCGGCCCGACAATATTTAGAGTTAAGACTTCATTTCCCCAGGGCAACAATTAATTTACAAATAACCTTATGGAATATAAGCCATTTTTAAGTTTGTAAATATTGCCTATTTCAGAATTTAAAAACTGTTTAATTTCATTAAATAATCTTAAAGGGGTTTAATCATTAGACGATTTATATTTAATAACTAATTCTTCTTTCCTGCCATCATCATTCTTTTCATTTCCCTGATTATAATTTCATGAACCTACCATTATTTAAAATATTTATATTTTTAATATTTTTATTTCATCTGTGAAATTTCTAATTTCTAGGTAGCTATATTTTTGGAATCTCCAATTTAAAACTAATCAAAATATGTACTTCCATCTTAAATACAAGATTTTTGGTTTTGTTTTAACTGAAAGCAACCTCAAAATATGCTTCATGATTGAGGATGCCATCTATGATATTCTTCATTTTTTAAAAACCTGACAAATACCATTATGAAATCAGCCCACTTAAATGCAAAATATTTAAATTAAGGAAAATAATGTGAATTATCTAAAAAAATATCATGACAAGCAATTTTTCAAACTATACTTATAACTCTTGAAAATCCAGCTAGCTAATTTGAATCAGAAAACATTCAATTACTACCTTTAATTCAGGATTTATCACTTATGGAAATAAAAAAATTGGGTTTTTTATTATTATAGCCACCAATGTAAGAACATCAATATATACCACTTCTCATATTTGTTTCCACAAAATACTATAGTTCTTTTTGCTGACCCACATGAGTTAAATCATAATGCAAATGTGTTTTAGAAACTCCTGGTCTGTAGGTCTCCCCCATTACTCAAGCTTTCTTGGTGGGGGAAATCTTTATTTTTTAGAAATCAAATTAATGTAAAACATCCAAAATAGGCAAATCCTTAGATTAACAGTTGCCTAAGGGTGTGGGGTAGAGGTGGAGAGTAAAGAAGGAACAGGAATGGGAAGTGACTGCTAATGTGCACACGGTCACTTTGTGAGGTATTGTAAACGATCTAAAAGTAGACTGCAGCAATGGTTGCACAATCTGAGAATATAACAAAAGTCAATGAAATGTACACTTTAAAATAAATGAATTTTATGGCATGCGAAATACATCTCAATAAAGCTATAAAGAAAAGCACATGTAAAAAAATCAGATTAAAGAAAAACATTTTAAGTATAATAAAGACAGTTCTTCTTATGAGATGCTAGTTTAGTGTTAAATTAAGTTAAAAAAAAAACCAAGAATTGGCATTTCTATTTTAAGTTTTTGGTTTTTTAATAGTGCACACTCCAAGTAGCAAGTAAAAGTTTGAGTAAATAAAGAATTCTAGAAAGAAAGCATTTTAGTTTAGAAACTCAGAAATATATACATTTTAATCAAATATGAATATAATTTCATCAAGAAAAATAAAACTGTATTAAATACTAGTAATTTAAATGGCTATAAAATGTTGACAGATGCTTTAAACTATTAATTCACAAAGAATCCCAACAGGAGAGAAGAGGAAAGACTACATTAATTTAGTCACCAGAGAATGACTGTAGACCATATGACAGTTACATATTCAGTCACTACCAATACTAGATATTTTTTAAAAAGGGAGAGAACATTTCAGCATTTTTACTGACAAAATCTTGCACTACAATCACCACTCAGTGTTTCCCAATTTCCTTATTCAACATCTTTTACCATTGGGACAAAGTTCTCTGAACACAGAGAAAGAAAACACATTCTATCAATGATCTTTCTTTTATGGACCAATGAGCTTTATAAGATTCACTACATTCTATCTTGGATGACCAGAAGCTCAGGAAACTTGATCTTAACTTCATAAACTTTTCTTTTTCTTGATTTCTAGTAGATTATGCTCTTTATTTCTCTTTTACGACAACTTTAGTCCTTATTTCATCTTGTTCTAAAAAGTGTCATTTTATTACCTTCTTTCTCTTCTGTTTTTCCTTCTTTCTTTTTTTTATTGCTGTCTTAAAAATGTATTTAAATAATTTTTTGGAAACAGATGAAGTTTAAGTGATTTTTTTAAAAAATTTTTTTCAAAAACAAAAATAATTTCTTACCTGTTTGACATCTCGAACAAGATGAAATAGCATTGGATTAGTTGGACCTTGTTTCTTTAGGGAGAAAAAATTAGAGCAAACTATTATTTTTCTTCTAAAATAACTTAATTTCCTTTTTTGTTACTTACAGGACTTTTATAAACTTTCTTGTACAAACTATACTGTTTTGGAGTTATGTCTTTAAGTTCTGTTCATAAAGTAGAACAACAAAGAAAAGGATATAACCATTTCATATTCTCATATTTACTGTCAAAAAGATTAATGATTTCAACACATCACTAAATCATTATATAAGTTTTTGCTATATAAAAGTCATGTCGACACTGCAAGCTTCGCAATTAATATCTTAAATTTAAATTTACATTTCTTATATTGATAATGGAGATGTACAATCCCTTTCTTCTTGTTAAAATACCTGGGGCCGGATTCCGTGGCTCACTCGGGAGAGTGCGGCGCTGGTAGTGCCGAGGCCACGGTTTCGGATCCTATATAGGGATGGCCAGTGAGCGCGGACCACACTGTGACAAAGGTTGCGATCCCCTTACAGGTCAAAAAAAATAATAATAATAATCTGTTCCTCTGTTTCTATCACCGATCATCAAGTTGTATTAATACTTTAAATATTTCGAGTAACAAACTTTTTAACAATTACATATGCTATCATTTCCCCATTATCTTACTTCTCTTTTTGTATACTCTTCACGTGGACTAATCACAAGTTTTATCTTACAGTAATCTTATAGCATTGTGTATTTCGAAAAAATGCCTAGGAATATCTCTCCCCGACCAAGAGAGAGGTACATGGCTCAAAAATGTATACGGTGGACTAATCACAAGTTTTATCTTACAGTAATCTTATAGCATTGTGTATTTCGAAAAATGCCTAGGAATATCTCTCCCCGACCAAGAGAGAGGTACATGGCTCAAAAATGTATACTTCTAAACACTTTAGGCAGTGCTTTGACTCACCTGAAATTTATTGCAATGAATTCAATGTGTTACAAATCAAGAAACTTATACTCAATTCTTTAAATCATATTGTTCAAAAGAATTATCAAATGAGATTTAACCCTACCATTGTGTTAATTTTTTATATGAGAGGGTATTATAGTAATCAATTCAATCTACTTTGCGACTTTGATCACATCTATTTGTTAATACATTTTCAAATATAACTGGGTACACCTACCATTATTTCTTTGAAAAAAAAAATTACTTTCTTTGATATTCTTGGCTTTCAAATTCTACACAATATCCAAGAGGGCTATAATTGACATTGCATATAAATTACATTTTATCTTACTTTACCTATCTTCCTTTTTTAATATTTAGTCTATCCACGCAGGAGCTGTATTCTCTCTGCCCATTCTTTCCCTTACGTTAACTTTAAAAATAAATGTGTCTTCTAAGTTAATATGAAGTATTTAATACATTTAGGGTATTAGGAAGTTTCATTGTAATTTTTCTAACAGTATATAATCACATAGAAAAGTACTTACAATTTTTTAAATTCTATTTTATCTTAAACCATTAAGTGTTTATCCACTAAAAATGAATTCTTAGTAAAAATATATATATATACTTTAATACACCTGAGGACACCTGTGGACACCTGAGGTCCCCAAGACTCGTTCAGGAAATCCATGAGATCAAAACTATTTTCATAATAATATTAAGATTGTATTTGCATTGTTTCACTATCATTCTGTTTTCAGTGGAGTTTTCCAGAGGCTTCTTGATGTGTGATATTGTGGGATTAAATTCAGAAGCAAATACCCAGCTGTTTTTATGAAACCAGTCATTAAAGAGATTTGCAAAAATGTAAAGTTGTTTTACTCTCTTCACTAATTGTTTTGTTTTCTTTAAAAATGTATTTATGTTAATGTATATTGAGTTTATTATCTGTACTTTAATTCAAATTAACAAACATTTAAAAATCTGTTTTACATCCTAATATGGTAAATATCAACACACATAAATAAAACCTCTTTAGAACAGCTCCTTGAATCCTCAATCATTTTTATGTGAAGGAACCCCAATACCAACAAGTTTGAGAACCATTGCTTTATCACGTTATAAGCCTTTTAAACTTTTAAAAACTGTATCAATAATTGATGCTGAAAGTAAGTAAATATTATCTTAACAACTTCAAATTATACAATTAAAAAAATTACTTGCCTTGCTAACAGGACCAATTTTTATTTTTATTGTTTTATATTTGCTTTACATTTCAGGAGTAAACCTTACTTCAGCACAATGAATAATCCTTTTAATGTTTACGTCTGTTCACTAGAGACAGGAGAATGCCAACAAAGTTCAATGTAACTGTGCTAGACACTATTAAAGAAAAAAATGGGGGAAAATAAAGATATAATCCCTACTGAAAAGAAATACATAATCCACAGGGGAAGATATAGTTGTACTTAACTATTCTACTGGACTTCATGGAAGCAGTGGCATGGCATTTGAGCTAAGTTCTAAACAATGAATAAAATTTCCATACACCAGGAGTAGCTGGAAGAAAAACAAATCAGCACTATGTAAAGTAGCAAATGCTTT